TCCAATTTTCGAGACTGCGAGTAAAATTTAAATAACACCAATCAATGGCATTATAATTGTGGCACCGGCATGGAAAGATATCCTCTGGAAAGTGCAAGTGTGAAGCTATTCCTGCTGATATCAGTCTTCTCTCTGTTTTTGTGCTTAGATACTTAAATCACTCGAACTTAGTGCATCGTTCTTATAAGTTTTCAACAACAAGTGGCAATAAAGAACGTTTAATCTTAACACATATTTTTGAAGGTTCAGCAGCGTCACCCTATATCTTAGAACCTGGAGTAATGGAGCATGTGTATAGGTCCTTGGTGAAATAAAACTTTTAGTAGGTACTTAACAACCTATTAAATGTCCAGTGCACTGTTGGTGCAAATTAAAATCATGATTCGTGAATGAATTAAAATCAGTACACCTACTCAGTTTTAATCGCTTGCATAACTAAAGATTTGTTCTTTTTTGTTTTAATATCAGGATGTAACTACATTTGAAAAGAAAATGTACTCATTATTTATCTCGGAATATAGGTAATATAGAAAGCTACGGAAAATGTTACTTTAATAAGCATTGCTATTTATTAAAAATAGCGTTTCCTTAAAAGAACTAATTTGGACAAAGAAATACGACAAAAAAAGCTTTACGTGGGGAAAAAATACAAATGAAACCCAATCAGTACCCTTAGCACGAACCAATATCGAATTCATAACGTTTGGGAGTCCGAAATATCACTGTACGTTACGTACTTTGTGGCGCTGCTGTTCAAGTTTCACAAAATTTGACATTTCGCACTCGCAAACTATTCAAATTCGATAATGGTTCGTGCTAGGGGTACCGTACAGTGTTACTCTACATACATTTTAGGATCAAGTTAAACCCAGGAGCGAAGAGAACGTAACACGAAAACAAAAATAATAACTTTATTTTTGTTTCAGAACACAAGTAAAATATAGTACTTACATAGTACGAAACTTGTAAGATCTATAGGTACTAAGAAAACACAGTAAGTAAATGAATAGAGAATGAAAGGTCCAGCAAGTAAATGTTTGTCTTTGATATAATTTATTAAAAAGGCAATTTGTTCAAGCGGCCATTAAAGTTCTTGAAAATTGTTTCAAGAGTCAATACGACCAAGATTGCTTCTAAAGCACAAGATTCCGTTTGATTATGCTCCATGGTGTTATCTAACTTTTTCCTTTTGTTTGGTTTCACATGTGACCAGCGCTTTAAATAACCCACACGAATTCGTGGAGCACTCTTAACGTAAGCCATTAACAGACATACAACGACACCCACAAATGAACTACTGTAAAATAAATGTGTCAATTTTGTCATCAGCGTTTCTTTCTGTGTATTTGTATTAACTAAGATTGATCAACAAATAAATGTACTATGTCGAAGATAATAAAATAGATACTTATGTTATAACATGGAATTAGTATTAGATATTTTTGGACTGTGGTCCTTTCTTGCCAACACTGTATAACTTAAGAACATATTTTAATAAACAATTTGTTGTCATCTCCATGTTGTATTTATGTTTTATAAACATTAACCTTATTGTGAACTAATATCGAATTCGAATAGTTGAATTCGATCTCCATACGCATCAAATGTCAAGAAGTTTTGTATGGAAGTCTTCCGAAATCTTCCATACAAAACTATTTGACATTTGACGCATATCGTGTTTGAATTCAACTATTCGAACATATTATTGGTTTGTGCTAATGCTAAGGGTACGTGTACTTTGTTAGCCGACTACTACTACATAAAACTGCTACTCCAATCATTTGGTTGCAGTGGCAGTTAATATTGTTGAACTGTTGGGAAAATGCAGAGCAAAATGGGTGTTTGCTGCTAGTCTACAGATTGGGAATCCAGTACGAGTATATACGTACGTATACGTTTGAGTTATTAATTATTTAGCCAGAAACATCATAGGAGAAATTGAATTGAAGTGATCAAGTGACAACATGCTTAACTTGTATAATTTTTTCTTATCTGAAAATAAAATTACATAAGAAATTAATCACACTGTTACTGTATATTAAACATTTAATCAACATTAAACAACGCTTTGGTTTAATTCTTTACGCGTAAGTGTATAAGTATAATAATTTACAATTTTTGTATTACTTACATCAATTAATTACATTACCAGCGTACAAATACATGTAAACACAATTTTGTTCCATATAATTTATTCACGAGCGCTAGTGCATACCTATAACTTTACAAAATCAGTATAATAATTATTATCAGACTAAAAAATAATAGTTATTCATTTAGCTACATCGAACATAAAAGATATTCAGTTGTGCATTTTCAAATAATTGTAAGTAGGTATACTATGTATATTTATCTTTGAGATAAATAGTATTTTTCTAAACATAATCCGAATAAATTATTGAATAAAATAGTTTTCATAACATCTTAATTATTTAGTGATTTGATTGAATACTCGAAAATATAAGTGATCGTATATTTTCATATTCTATGCGAATCATTATTAGGTTTAAGTATGTTAATAAATACTTCGATGCTGTCAGTACAATTTACTTATGTCGTTACCTATTGGATATATTACATTTTCCTAATATTACCTACTTTTACATTCTTACATTACATTCTTTTGGCCTAGCATTATAGGAAATATCTATCGTTCAACCAATTTGTAGGTCCCATCAGCTGTGATCGCCAAGAGGATGACAGTCTAAGATTTTCAATATACATACATACTTATTTTAATAGTTTAAATTTATTGCTTTACTATTTCCAATATTTTTAATTTCAGCTACCTCATCCTTGGGCCTTCAATTTATGATGTCGTGAAGATAGAGTGCACGCCGGACAGACAGACTACTCCAAGGAATATTCTACCTACTTAGTTTTGCTTAATAGGCAATTAATAGGGGTGATGACGGGGTAAATACAACGATATTATATTTACCAGTCCGTAAATTATCAAAAAATAATGGACACCTATTTATCTTTTGCCAATCAACCAAAAAATTATAAAAATAAAGCGTTGATGCGCTTTATTTCACTATGGGAGTGACGTCAATACTCAGTAAAAATTGTACCAAGATATTGTAACGTCATGCGACATTTCAGATCAATATATCTCTTTAATGCTTTGATTATTAATAAAGAAGAAATACGTTTCCAATACTTTTTGATAATCTACCTGAGACGCAGTAAAAAATATCGTCATCCCTATTATAGAGAAAGTAGCCAAGGTGCAGTGTGCCCCTTTGGTCAGTCCATCAGCGTTTCTCAAAAACATTATTAGGTAGTTAGAATTCAAAAAATTTTGCAAACAGCACAGTTAAATTGAACGAATAGATAAGTGTGTAAGAAATCTAAAATTTAGTCACATTTTCTTGATGATCTCCACAACCCACCGATTACATTTTCCTTTACCACCGTCATTGTGAATAAGTAGGTACTGAAGTACATATTTAATAAGTATTTATGAGGCTATGATAAGGTTCTTCAGCCTTTGCTTTGTTTCCAAAAGTAATTAGGTATTCTGTAACATGTCATCCCACATACGATTTCGTTAATTCGAGTTTTTGACAATATCTTATGATGTTGATGATGATCTTTTATCTCATTGCAATATTTTGACGTGTAATGATGTAATGCATATCGAAATAATGTCTAAAATTGGATCTGTTTATCTATAAATTCAACACGGAAATAAATAATCCAAATTAAGCACTATCCAGCAACCTTTACACTTCTAAAAAATACAGTCGGACCACGATAAGTCTGCAGTGGAGTGACAAATTATTGTTCGTACATTTATAGGCCGATTTCAATGATATCGTTTTGGGTTCCGTGCTCAAAGGGTATTAACGGAGCCCTATTGCTGACATTTTGTCGTTTGTCTGTCCGTATGCCAAAGGTCTATAGATCGTAAACGGAATGAGTTACAAAACAGAAATTTTGGCATTTTATGTGGAATGCTTTGCCTAAAGCCGAATTATTAGTTCAGAATTAAATTTCATTATTTTTAATGGGGGTCTCATACACGTGATACATTATTGACTAGGGATCGTTGAGTAGGATATGAATATTGTTACGTGTCGGGATGGGGTTCGAAATTATAATGCCAGTTTACACTTGACAGTTCAACTCAACTGCCGCTGCCCGGAGCCAAGCGCCGTACAAGTATTTTTGCTCCACAAACAAAAAATTCAAAAGCCGTTCTCTAAATAAAAGATTTTAGCATGACATTACATTTATGAAATTTTTTAATGACTTCCTAAAATGGCTGCCAGATCATTTTTTCTGGTGTGACCAGATTATTGACTCTACAAACTTATCGTGGTTCGACTTTGGACATGTCGGGATGAAATTTGATTAATACATCAGCGAGATAATTAAAAAAAAGATTATTGCATCACTTGTCAGCTGGTTAAGAAATCTATCTTCGCTTTTTTGTATCACACACTAAGTATATCTATTGAAACTTTTCTAATTAGTTTCAATTGCGGTGTGAATGATTCAGTGGCGGACTAACAGGGGGGCGGAAGGGGCGGCCCGCCCCGGGCCTCCAGTCTTGGGGGGCCCCCAAATGCCTCCGCGTTCCCCTCATCAAATTCTAAACAAGACTTTGAAAATGTGCTTAGTACCTAAATAATTTCATCAAGATCAAAACACTACAGCCATCTAGACTTATTACGCGCTACTAATATTCTTTTAACTTTGGTGAACGCGTCCAATATGTTGAGGGAATTCCCGTCTTTGTAGCGGGTACTTCCTCAGGAATCCCTGAATGAATGAAGTGCATATATAATTCACTCTTGTACGACTACATTCATTAAATTTACGTCGAAAAATAAACATTGGCCTCATTTAAAATATAGGTATTAAATTTCATTACGTTAATATACATATAATAGTGTGTTCCGATATTTTAAATAAAGGATAAGCTATTTTTGAAATTGTAAAGTAATAAACGCGATCTTATCCGTTCAAAGTAATTTCATTAAAAAAATGTACCTAAGTGTTTTTCATTTTTGTTGTGGTATAAGAGGAATTGAGTTAGTGCATTTTCGAGTGTTTGGAAAAAGTAAGTATGTAATTCTTCGTATAATTTCGCCCAGAAATTATAATCCGTAGTTTCTAGTCAATATGCACCTACGTTTTTAGTCAATATGTACCTTATTGTAGGTATGTACGTTTCTTTAGCCGAAATAATTGGCTGAGGGGCCTCATTCAGCTTTGCCGCCCCGGGCGGACGAGTTTAGTCCGCCACTGGAATGACTTATAGAAAGGGGTGCTAAGCGACTATTACATGCAAATCCCGTCACTACCTATACCTTCCCAATGTTTCTTTCCCACCACATAGTCTCAACTCGGGATTACATTAGAAAAGAGAGATGAGATGTTATATAGGTAATTAGTTACATATTTCATGATAGCACCACATAATCTGTACATATAAGATTTCATTTTCTTATAAGTATGCCATTGCCACACTTGCTTGTTGATTTATATACAAGTTGTGATTTCTTCGACATATGACGAGGGAAATATTCCGTAGCAGCCGTTTAGATCGCCGGACCACCAACCGTCATCTTGCTTCTCGAATATGCTTATTATATCACCTGAAAGAGGAAAAACAAAATTGTATCTACTGCAAAGCATTTCAAAGCCAACACTTATATCGTTACCGTTAATATGAATTAATGTAACCACCAAAATCATGAAATTGAGTTATATAATAATAATAATAATAATAATAATAATAAATTCTTTATTTATTTCTTCACATAAGTATATACACAGTTCGTCTGCAAATTTGATATTCTATCGATTGCTGTAATTGAAATTACGTCTTGAAAAAATAATTTGATTACGCTAGCCAAAACCAGACCATTTTTATAATTTTACCATACGTTTTTTAATGTATAGCACAATTTTCATAAATTACTTATTAACAGGTTAATATAACGGCCAAAGTAGAAAAAATGACACCAATTTAAGACTCATCTGTATCAAAATGACTCTTACGTTAACTTATTTTGTGGCACATTGTATTTGATTGACTGTTCCGTTAATTTTAAAAACTGGCGTCTGTCTATCCAGATTGTACCTAGTTGCATAATTTAACCTAAATATGGCACTCTCGGTAAACAATCCTAAACAAACCCGAACTGTCCTTCGTACAGCTGTGTATGCTCGGCTAGGTGTTTATCTAACAGACGGTCCAATACCTTGTCCATGATTGCCCATGAATAACTTGGGTAGAACGCATAGTAGCGTCCAGTGAGAAAAGGAAAAACAAATTAAAAAGTGGCAGAAGACTGGGAGAAAAGACTATGCTGTTGTAGCCATGGGTTTTAAGGCGAAGGGGTAAAAATAGCCTTATCGATGAGCCATTATATGATTTAGGACCGCATACGAGCTCCATTCTGGTGGAGGTACTTTACAGTCAAAACTTCGATATGAGTGGATACATTGACCAAGTCGAAAGGACACACGAGGCCCTAAGAAGCATCGAGCTCCAGGCTCGATTGCAGAATGGCGTTTAGCATGTTCCAGCATGCGATGAAAACAATAGCTAATTGCTATTTGTTCGACCTTTGTCGGTCGAACAGTGAGCGTAAACTAGGCACGAGTGAATGCCAGGATTTATTATCTGAGGATCTCTGTATGCCAGAGAATGTTTACCACTACTTGACAAACTTCGGAAATACAAACTACGACAGGTGGAGAGGAGGTCAAGTGCATCCTTCCTGATGCAGCAACATCGCAACCATAACGCGATGATATCCCAGCAGAATCTCTCGGCCCCCTTTCGACCAACAATCCCAATTTATATGAATGCTATAAATCGACACTCGTAACAATGCATCGAGTGCTAGGTAAATAGTAGAAGAGCTGCAGGAGCAGCCAAAGTTTCCCGCTCCCACCAGGGCTTGTTTCGGCTGGCGGCGTGCCTACTAGAAATTTGTTAGGATATGAGCCACTTGATATCATACCGGCTAAGGCACGTCCGAGGATACAAGGCTTTGAGTTCCCAGAAGGGGATAACGGAGCGGTAAGACTCAGAATATGCCTAGAACTAATGGCCAGATTTAATACAGTTCTTTTTGAAGTAAAAACCGCATTCAAGATGCACGACATTGGAAGGAAAACACCAGGGTCACGAAACTACGTTGTGCCAAAGCACATACCTTGTTAGGGTTATGGACCATACACCCAATATCACTAAAAAAAGCTAAATCCAAACACATAGCAGTTCTGCTTTTGGATCACCTAACGCAGGCCAGAACAATATAATACATCTGAGTACCCCCATAACCAACATTACCTGGTGTCAAATTGAGTTCGTCGTTGAGCCTGGCCTCGTAGGTGTATAACGCGCGGCACTTGCCTATAGCTTGCGCGGGTGCCGTGCCGTCTCCGTTCTCTTCCGCCTTCATGATGTCCGTCAGATCCGCCGAACTATCGCTTTGTGATGAAAATTCATCTGGAATTTATTAATTGGCACTATTTATTTTCTTGCGGATGCAATAGAACTCAGGTCAGTGACATAGCCCAAATAATTGCGAGAATTAATAAGAGCGAGGCAATGGATAGGGGCACATTGCAAGGAGGACTGCGGCTGGTGAGGCGGAAAGGTCCTCGAGCGGCGGGCGGATACCGGAAGACGCAGTGTTGGCAGGCGCCCCACAATGTAGACTGACGATCTGGTGAAGGTCGAGGGAAGCCGCTGGACCCATCGGTTTGGAATTCCTTGGGGGAGGCCTGTGTCCAGCACTGGACGTCTCTCGGTTGATATGATGAGTATTTATTTTTATTATTTGACACCTAAAAGTGAGTTGAGTAACACGGACTATGTATAAAATTATTATCAGTAGCTTCGAAAGCCTACCATTTCTGCGCACCAGTTTAGGTCCTAAAATGCACTGCTTCGCTATTTCGTTCGTATCATTATATATACGCCGCTTAGGCGTATAGAAAAAATATAGGTTGGGTAAGTACGTAAAGGTTTTTTTAAAATGTCTGACAAATGACTACACCTCACCTGATGTTAAGTCGGAATATAGGGTTTTTGGTTTTGGATGTCGAGGTACGAAATCAATAGAGAACCTCGCTGACGTGGTATGATATTAATATCAGGAAGATGTTCGTCAAAATTATGTCATGCATTTTTTTGTCTTTCGTTTTCAGTTGAATAGACCAACGATTATGTAAGTAGAATTACTGTAGCTAAGTAACACATACAAAAAAGATCTAAGTTAAATGCTTCTCTATAATTATACCAGCATCACTTACCGCAAAACACTTTTCTAGGAAAGCAATCATTTCTTAGATAATTATGAGAGCTAAGATACCGTTTACGTTAAATGAATTCAAGAATATAGGTACCTACATTATTTACGCTGGACTTAACGTTGTGGAACTATTGCGTGTGTAATGTGCATAAATCAAAACACTAATAGTAATGCAAATAAAAGAAACTGTTAAACGAATAGAAAAACGGAGAATCTTTGGATTAAACGTGGCAAAGTACAATTTTATGCTATTATAGCAGGAATAATGAATTCAACAGTTTTTTAATAATTATGTGATAAACTCTACGCATAAACATTAGAAATGATAATTTCAAGCATATATTTAATTTTTAGGTGCTTAATGTATGTTTAACTTTCATTGTACATAAATTTCATTAAACGAACAAAAATCAAAAACATCTACAAGTAAGTAATTTAGAAAGGAAATTTTTAGCATAAGTACATTATTTAATTGAGGTAATAATTTAATTTCTTGTTCATACTTCATTATTATTATTGTTCTATACATTTGACTCTATTTATCTCATGTTGCACGATCGACTTAAGGCGATTACCGAAGTTGCTGTCGTGCTGGTTGGACAGGCCGTCGGGAGTAGCAGTGGCAGCTTGCATATTATGGACGTAATACAACTAGATAGGGAACGCTCAGTCTATTCTCTGTCTATAGAAGAGACTTAACGAAGTTGCTGTGGTGTTGGTTGGATCGGCCATCACATATGGGCGTCGTAAAGATATATAGGCATCGCTCAATTCCTTTATCTATAAGGTCTTACTTATGTCGCTGTTGTGCTGGTTGGACAGGCCCTCGCCGGCGTCGCGCTCGCTCCTATCGGTGAACAGCGGCAGCTCGTACTTTCACAAATTTCCACCGGCGTTTACTACTTACAACTACAACAACTTTTTATTGACAACGATTTATGATCCTGAGTATCTATGTCTAAGTCTTACCAAAGTCGCTGTCGTGTTGGTTAGATAATCCGTCGCCGGCGCCACGCTCGCTCCAGTCGAGCGGGCTCTCCGGAGGCGCTGACTCCGGCGTCGGCGGCTTCGGTGGTGGCGGCAGCGGCAGCTCGCACATCACGGGCGTCCCCGGCGCACTTTTATTCTCCGTATTTCTTCTAAACGACAAGTGCTCGATACGCAGCTTGGAAGACGCCCGACTCATTATCGAGTCCCGTCGTTCCCTCTCCTCGCCCCCCGTCATACTCTTCGATAAAGCTGTGTAGTTCGGTTGCAGGTTCTTGTTCACTTCGTTCTGGTAATCCGACTGCAACCATGGCGGTACCTGTACAAAAATCATTAGGCTATGTAGAAAAGAGCACCAAGGAATATAGGGCTATCCCAATTGAAACATCCTGTGATGTTGATTTAGCCATTAAACATTTCTTATATGAACTCAGCTTTTGTTGTTGAAAGTTCTCTAGGCATGAAGGTAGTTAATTTTTGGTAAATCATTCTGTCTCTTACCTTTAATATGCTTTGTTGGAGACCTTGTTTATCGCGGACGATTTGTATGTGCGTTGATAGAGGATGCTGCACCGGCGGTCGACTGTCCAGCTCATTTAGACTCGTTGTGATCTTATATCTTATTGCTTCTAGATATGTTAACATTGATCTTACCTGAAGTTTAAAATTTATTTGAAATGAAGTACCAAACAAAATCCAAATATCACTAATAAATTTCTATCGAAGAAATTTTAAATTTTACTAATAATTTTGTATCAAACAAATTCAAATGTTTACAAAAAAGTTTTGCAACAGGTTACATTTTGTGGGAGATCCGAGTTACAGATGGTTTTATTTCATTTAAAAGAAACAATTAAAGTCAGTTTGTTAATTTCCAAACAAAGAATAAAATAAGGAATAAATTTAGAATTTTTAACACACATTTAACTTACGTGATATAGTTTGTCAGCGACATTTTGTTGTGAATCGTCGTTGCCAAATGTCGGAGTTTGTTTCATGGCCATAGAGAGTTTTTCTAATCCTTGTTTAGATTTACGCTCACGATCTATGTCCTGCTTCACTAATTGTAAGATTTTCAGAAGTGCCTGCAAACAAGAAGGAAATATTGATATCATAATAATATGTAATATTCGTTCGTAGTTCACAGAGGAAGAAGAACGCTGCCATTTTCTATTTTAACCACTTGCAAGAACATACTTAAGGGAATTAATAATGCTTTAGCTATAACTAGCTTCTGTGCGTACCTAAGTCAGAGTCATGGATTGATGATTCTTGTTAATTTTAGAAAAAAAACATACATGTTTCTTGGATCCCGTAACAGTTCTAAGTTCATGTCCGTGGCAGATTCTTAGAAGTCTCGTTTTGGTATCGGGAGTTTCATGAGGTCACATTTCGAAATCTAATACTTTTGAACTATCATAAAAAAACTAAACAAACTATTATTAAAAATCTGTGTATGAGTTTTAATTTGTTTTGTTGGCTAAGTGTCGGAATTTTAATCTGATAATATCTTGCTGCAAAATAGCGAAATGTGTGACGACCAAATGTAACTGTTTAAGGGTAAATTTTACCTGTTTACGTCGTTCCCTATTCATAGCGAGGGTGGTGTGTTCGCAGTAGAAGTCTGGCAGCAATTGGTCACTAGCGCCAGCCGGGACGGAGCGGACGCCGCGCACAACACGCATGTCCACGTTCGCGTTCGCATTCTTTATAGGGGTCACTAATGTGTTTGTTGACTGTAACGAATAAACAGTCGGGTTAGTAAGATTTTTATAAATTCCGGACAATTAACAATAATAACTTATTTAGTGCCAATCTAAGCAAAATTTGTGAACGTATATAATATAGGCCTCTCCAATTGCACGCCACTCAGATCGATCTTGGGCTACTCGCATCCAGCTCCTGCCTTCCTCGTCCTTACACTACGTTTGCCTAACCGCGGTCTCTACTCCAGAAATCGTCTACCCCAACGGCTATCGGTTCTTCGGCAAATATGGCCAGCCCACTGCCACTTCAATTGCTAATCCGGTGGGTAGGCATCCTAATTGGAGAGGCCTATGTCCAGCAGTGGACTAGGATAGGCTGTTGATGATGATGATGATGATATTTATGATACCTCATAAATGTAAAAGTCTATAAACAACCATGACAGAGATGGTATAGAAATAGTAAATCACAACGAGGAAACCTTCAGATTTCACATCCTAGATAATTCAGTTGGAATATGAATATTTATTTCCTCATTTCTAAAGAGGTAATCAAAATAATGAAACTGCACGATATAGAATAAATGGTAAAGAATAAAGAGTAATAGCCTATGCTGCGTTAACCGGGTTACGGAGCGGGCGTCCGCTCCGTGCTCCCACTTAACGCAGCGCATGCTCTAAGTAACTTACTTCTGCTAACTGAGGTGCCACAGCGGAAGTAAGCCTTAAATAGCAATCAGCGGAAGACTTTAGTTGGGCCAGCCTCTCTTCCTCCAAGGACTCCAGCATGCCGGCTCCCTTCACGACGCTTGACTCCCATTCTAATCTATTTGCATAAAATAAAATGTAACGTTAAGTCACGGAAACAGTTATTTGCCTATTTTTAAAGCGATGATGACTATCTTTTTTTTCTTCGTCTATCAGGTAGATTATCAAAAAGTATTGGACACGTTTTTATTTATTTATTCACTTGACCAAACCATTAAAGAGATAAATTAATTTAAAGCGTCACATGACGTCTCGTCTTGGTACAATTTTTACTTAGAAGTGACGTCACGAGTCCGCAGTCTAAAACTTAGACACGCTTTTTCTTCGTCTTTTATTGGATAGAATTTCGTTTTATTTACCCTGTCATTTATTCATATTTTTTCTTACTGATTATTCTCACCTAGAGCGTTCAGCATGTACGCAGACATTGTAATATTCAACTTCAGTCTTTTTCACAGCATCTTCTGTCTTTCTCTTTTTCACTTGTAACTTTGCCGCGTCCTTTTCACTGGAAGCGTTTGCATGTCTTTCGGCGCGTGCAGTACTCAAAATAGAGTGAGGAATGTGACCAACGCTCGAACTACGCGACAAGCGACTGTGGAATAACAAAAATAAAATTTTCACAATAGAGGTTTCAACCCCATAATGATGAATTCGCATAAGTTTTAAAGTAAAACGCAAAGCAAAATTCGCACAGCGTGAAGGATCCTTCTATTTACTTGACCGAAAAAATGTCCTTGAATTTAATTGAGCAAATGATGAAAAAGGACTATTGTTTCGTCAAGGATACCGTGAGTGGGCAGACCTCATCTCCAGAGATGCGTCTTGCAGCTTTTCATTTTCTCTCGCTGCCGTATGCGACTGTTTCTTGGATTTCGCTTCTGCAGTTCTCCACTCCGCTAGAGTGCGTGTTGTTTTGTCAACATTACCTTCAATCTAAAATTACAAACAAAATGTCAAGTCTCTCGGTTAAAACTAAATATTTATTATGACGTTACCCGTAAAAATATAATATGATTAGCCTATATAGAGCAGTCGATAACCGATGCGATCGATCAAATACAGATTGAGCTCCAATTACTAGAGTAACTTAACACAAAGAGTTATGATGCCAAAATAAGAAATCGACATTTTTAGCAATCTAATCGATAAATTATTAGGTGGTCAATAGCAATCAAACAAATGTCAGTAATTGGTTTAATAATATAAAACAAATGTAACGCAATAAAATTTGAAAGTAATTTTATACAGTTGTTTGTATCCCACCTTTTTCCTAAGTTTCAACTGATTGTCAGCGACATTTTTCATTGGTTTTACTAGCTCATCGGAGAGAGCGTTGGAGTAATTTCTGAAACAGGAAATGTGATTTGTAGATATTTCACATTATTATTGGGACCTCATGTAGTATTTGCACTTGGTAGGTAATTATTAAAAATTGTACCTGTGAATTTCCGCTCGTTTCTCCATTTCTAAAGCGACATGTTTCCATGCTTCTGCGCAAGAACCCACGCTCTCCTTGCAAGCCTTGCTGAGTTTCGTACCGAGCTTGGCCAAGCATTTCGAATAGTAATTTTCTGCTTCGACCCTATAAAGAAATGTATAGTTGAAGATGTTTCACAATGCGCCACGGAAGTAAACATAAGAAATAATCGTCGGTGGCGTCACGATTTGTTTTACGTCGCCGCTATCTTTGCGGTTGTGTAAAAGCAAGAGATATTACCGTCCCGGCCGGTGGTAACAGATAAATTGTGGAACGAACGTTATATTTGTGTACTCGACCTGGCCCACTTGGCGCCGCCTTGAGACAGCTATTTGGGATTTGTGGCCATTGCCATGCCCTTACTTTTTGAAAATACTACGATGTGTGATGAATCTTACGACCAATAATATTATGCATTGTGAAGGCGTTGCAGTTAAGGTTACAATGGTAGAAATCTTGATTGGTTAGTCAGGATAGCTAAAGTCGGAGCGAGAGTAATCGATGATTGTGAACAATAATGTATTGTTTAGTGTCGAAGTCTGTGGAAAGTAAACATTGAGAGAAATGTCGATAACAGAATTATCTGTTCGCGCATGATCGGTTTAGGAGCTGGGCCTCTTGAGCGTGAAACATTATGATGCATAAATGCTACACAAATAAACAAAAATGCTCATAAATCATTAACAAGAGCATGCGACTTCAAGAGAACACGATTTGAGTTGTCAATTGTATATAGGGTTCGGATATACCTTATAAAATAAATTTTCATAAATACCATAAAATTATTAATTCTAGCAACAATGCACTAAGACCAAATATATGATACAATGTAACAATTGTCTTATACCTTGGATATTACATAAAACTTATGTGATAAAAACTACTTTCCAAATAGATGTGCCAAGCATTGATTTAATGTTGGGCAAACAAATAAATGGAATAGAATAGGTAGGGACTTATCGTCCACTTTAAATAAATAAAGCAAGTTACAGAGACCCGAATAATTAAATATGTTAAGATAGCAGAATACTTACCTCTCTTGTAATATTGCAGCTAGTTCCTTGCTGAAATCACTACCTTGTTTTACATAGCGCCTGAGTTCATCAAACGCATTTTGTGCCTGCAAATAAAAGAAAAAACTAGTTGTCAACGAATATCACATTTGGCATAAGGTGGACCTAAGTTGTTGTTCTACAACACAAGTGATAATTTGAAAATAGTTTCGAAAATCTGTCAGATGATAGCCTTCTGTTATCTGATAGCCACAAGTCATCGCATCATTTATGATTTTTAGTCGTGCAAGACTACACAACCACTGGGACATTTACGCTAATTGTCGTGCTTAATAGGTTGTTTTTAGGTTTGATTACAGTTAGTAAGTACTTTCGATTTAATTTGCGTTAATTTCAGTATTACGATTGCACATAACTAATGAAACACTAATTACATTTACATCTGATGCCGATAGGCAATAAAAATATTATTTGTCATATTGAGAAATTGATTCTTTAATCGCGGTTGCAAATATTTTCTGATCTAAACGGAAACACAGTAGATTAGTACATGAATATCTACCTACTTTGAAAGTGATAAATAAACCATTTGAGAATGTCATCATATCGTCGTCGTCATCATATCTGACGAATAATTTAGAATTGTTCTATTCAACCGCTCTGGTAAAACTAATAGTTACACCAATGAGAGTTTCATATCTAATTTAAATCACAAACCACCATTGTATGTAGATGCGAATGGTTGGGATAGGAAGCGAAGAAATCAGACGCTCAACTAATTTTCTAACAGCGTCGCGAATTGGTATATAGTTAAAGAACATTGAATTATATTACAAAAATTAAATGAAGTTATATTCAAGATATTAGCGAATTAATAAGGCATATAATTTTCGTGATAAATAACTATAAATTCATTTAGTTATATGATTAATAACGTAATAGTAGGTATATACTATATAGGTAAATAATTAATTAACATGTTCAACAATTTATTAAATATAATTATTGAATAAATTGTAGCAAGTACTTATACCTGTATACTTCGGTACTTTCTAAGACAAAATCGAGAATTTCTTTTTCTACACATTTTTGTATACACTCTTGATCATATCACAAAATAACGAAAGCGCGTACGTGTTGGTTGATTAATTATATTATTATTTTGGTAGCATTGTCTCTGGTAAATCTACATTAGGTAAATACATCACTAGAGCAAAATTTAAAATGTATTGCACATTTCAAATACTAATACGACTTTTTCACGAAATCACAACACGATAAAAACAAATATGGTCAGAGCAAGACAACCTCTTCTAGTTCAGAAAGTTTCATAAAAGACGAAGTTGTAGGTAATTCTACAAAAATAACATTTAATAAGAAACAAGATATTATAGAAAATAAAATATTAAAGAATACAGAGTTTGAAGTAAATTTGTAGTAGGTACTTAAATTTTTACAGTTAAAGGTAAGTGATTATATAGGTAAAAATAATGAAGGTAATGTTGAAAAAAAATGCAAAAGAATAACTAATTCGTAGGAGGTTGTCAAAATGGTTAAGCCAAAAAATATTATTTTTAAAGTTAGAAGTTGTTTTAAGTTATAAAGGAAGTCACACAACCATTATAGCTAACAAGATCATAACTAACTGAACACTAATAGTGATGTAATAAGCCAGTGATGTTACTACAATTGATAAAGTCTGCAATGTGTTTACATATAGACTGTTGATGTTTTAGTTCTAGTGAAAACAAATTCTCTCAACAAACAACTCATTGATTCATCATATGTAGACATAATTCTAGATTTTCTACGTTTTAACCGAACAATGATCATCATGATCCAATCAATACTATAAGGTATCACATTTTAGAAAGGTTTCTATTATAATTAGGTCGGTAAAGACTGTGTTAATAGTATAACTACTTAATACGACTATGTTAAACCGATTCATATTAAACCAACGGAAAAAATGTAAGATGGCCCGGTTCCCAGGATGCTTCACTTTCAAAGCCGAGAATGATTTTTATTTTCTACTTTTTATAAGCTTTTTTATAACTGAGTATAAAAAAAAATTAAGCGATGTAAAACACTTTAAAAGTTACATGTATTTGTGGACTCTCCTGAGAAATGGCCCACCACAAGGGTTCCTAAGATAGTTCAGGCTTTAAACAACTATAGAATATCACAGTTTTAGTCCTAGTAGAAACTAGCCCATATGTTTAAGTAGGTAGATCTCTACTATCTAATTAGGTACTTTATGATTTAAATTAAAAGTTCTCACATCTTCAGTAAGTTCAGTCGCATTAATAAATATTTAAAATTAAACGTGTCATTTTACCACGTTAGAACATTTTAACCAATATTTACTTATATTGTACCTACCTTACCGCATACTTTTTTAATAATTCTTAAAAAAATATAGAACCTACTTATTGTAACACTAGTCGCCTGCCCTCGCTTTGATTCGGTGTAGACTATAGTTTTTGTACGCAGACTTCATCATCATGTATACTAATAATATTATGTACAAACCTTCCGTGAAAAGTAACTTCTACTTAACCAACAGTAAACATTTTGTTGAGTAGTTTAGGACCCGTAGCACCAAATGCACCATTGCTTTGCTGTTAAAAGTTTGCATACCATTGCTGCATGCCCTTATTATTAAATGTATCTAGTGACGCAGTGGTTTGTACACATCCATCAATTTTATCACGCATAATTATTGCACTCATGATAAAAGCTAGTACTGAAAAATAATAACAGCTCTGCACTACTAAAATGGTGGAGGATTTTATAAATAGGGTGTTTTGTATGAAGAATGTTGTTTTATCCTCACGCTTATTGTCAATCGTTATTATTTTGTACTAGTGGCCTGCCCTCGCTTCGCTTCGGTGTAGAGCTGTAGTGTAAACTATAGTTTTTGTTCTCAGGCTTGTGCTATAAACAATGACTTTATTTATATAATTACACGTGTTATTGTGAGTCAACCATAAAAGATAGACATATGCTGTTGCAGGATATTTTTTAGACAATTTTATGTAGAATATTTTCGTCATACATGATTTCTATGTAACGTTAACCATTAAGGCTGTACATGCGACGGAAGCTTAAAAAATGGAGTAACTTCTCCCGTTTTCCCAACATTTCCCTTCACTACTCTGCTGCTATTGATTGTAGCGTGATGAAAAGTATTCTATAACCTGCCCAGGAGTATGAAGAATAATTGTACCAAGTTTCGTTAAAATCCGTCGAGTAGTTTTTGTTTCTATAAGGAACATACACACTGACAGACAGACAGACAAAAATTTTACTGATTGCATTTTTGGCATCAGTATCGATCACTAATCACCCCCTGATAATTATTTTGAAAATATATTTCATGTACAGAATTGACCTCTCTACAGATTTATTATAAGTATAGATAGATATAGATGATCAAGTTAGTATTAAACCAATGTGTTTGTGTTGAGATACCTGTGTACATACCTATAAAGGAGATAACAGCAATTGGGGCTGTTTTTTGAGTATTATGTTCATGTCGTAGGATGATTTGATATATCGAATTTTCGCGAAAATCCTAGAAAATATGCAGAAAAATTGCAGAAAAATCTTACTGAAAATTTTCTTAGGCGCTTCGACGGTCGCCGGGCTTCCGCGACACGCTCGCTCAGCATGCGCTGGATGGTTACCACCCTAACCTAACCTAGCCCATTGTGAACATAAGAAACTAAAAACCCGAGAATATTTATTTTATTACAAGCCAACGATTCTTTTCGCAATCTTCTTGTGGTGACTTGCGTTTTTGCAAAAAGATCCAATCTTCTTTCAGTAAGATTGAAAAATGTTATTGAAATTCAAAGTCAAAGTCGAAATTTCGTGATGCATACACAAGAAAGTGTATAAATGAAAGTGACCTTAAACAGAATGATATATTTTTTTATGAAAATAAAAAAATATGTGATCCTCATCACAGATAATAATAATTAAACCTGAATACCTCTCTCTTTTAAAAAAAATAAGAATATCGTATTACACCATTTGTAATTGAAGAGCGTTTGGGCAAATTAACTTAGTGGAAGACCTTGCGTAAATATTTATAACATTTGAAAGGTCTCGTTAACTGTGTAGCCGATGACTTCAAGTTTTAACTGCAAACGTAAAGTAAGAAGGAGCATATTCCTAACTGTTTACACGAATGAATTCACTTTTAATATTACTACTAATAACTTTATCTTTAATTTGGTTCGAAATAGGAAAATGGGAGTATAGTTATAGTAATTCAAATATTTTTAGGAAATATAAATCTTGTATTTTATAGTAAATGATGAAAAGATCATTATATTATAAAAGTTACTGAGAAGCTAAAAAAATATCACTATTTATATACATTAATAAAATAGACATTACACACACAACCGCGCCTTTGTTTATAATTATACTGTAAGGCAAATCTCACACTACACACTAAAAAAAATAACAAACATTTTTGGAAATAAAAATACATAAACTTCATTTTTTTTCATACACTTTTAATTTTGAGGGTTCACCACCGCTCCGATGCCGCATAAGTAAAAGACGGAACCCTTATGGAATCAATTTAATGTTTGTCCCCTTTCGTTCTGTACATTTGTTGTCTACAAGCTTAGATCAGTACTGTTGATCGAAATCTACAATTTAATTTGATAACAGTCTCTCCCTTCTTTTTATTTAATATAAGGATATACTGCTGCCAAATTTAGATTTAGAGGCTGAAAGAAAATAATACTTATCATAATATTTTCCTACAGTGTGATATTTCTATGTAAGCACGAGATAAACACGATCGAGTTTAGTGGTATTTTATGTTATATTACTTGTATACTCCATTAACTTGAACAGGTTTTCTGAAATAGCAAAGTTTACACGTTACTATGACTGACGAATTGCGCTTTATCTTCAAGTCACGACATCAACTGCAACGGTACCCATTGAATAGATTAAATTATACCACTAATAAATATATTATATCTAAGTACAAACAGTAAACTTTCTTTAATAAAAGTAACTTTCACTGCAAGGGAAAAAGAGTTCACTGCCTATAGGATTACGGTTCAGAATGATTAGTTAG